TACATGCAACGTGTCCAGTTAGGAAGAAGCAATCGAGGGAGGTGAGGGAACCCGTGTTGGAGAAGGGGAGCACGTGCACAAAACTTACTAGCATTAGCTTTTTGCACGTGCCCTGCTTCTCCAACAAGGAGCTGCCCACCTACTGTTCGACGAAATCACTCACAATAGACCCTTTTCTCTCAATTCTGATCAAATGTGATCACAATTCACAAGATACACAAGGAAAGTGATCTATGTATTTATAGGCTCAAGTGTGTGTCTCTGTTGAAGAGAGATAACAGGGGTTATTGCTTTAAAGGCAATGGGCATAGAGAGAGCAATTGAGTAAAGTTTCAGAACAAGTACTGGATTGGAGTAAAACACTCTCCTGCCATTCCATGCCATGATCATCTTTCACACACGCTTTGAAAATTCAATGGAGAGAGAGAGAGAGAGAGATGTGATGCTAAAAGGGGACTAAAAGAGGGATTGATCGGCCATAACTTCAAAAAAGCTCACCAACATTGGTTTCTTTTGAGGGTTTAGCTAGCTCAATGCATGTACCTACGTAAAGAGACAACAAGCTTAGCTCTTGGATCACAAATCCGTCACCTGTGATATTGCGTCAATGGTGATTAAATTTGGTGTGGTTTTATTTATGCGACGAACACAAAAGTATATATAAATGAGTAAGATTTGATGGGACTTATATTTAATTTTTTTTTGTCTATTTATATGTTTGATTTCTGAATTTCTACGTTCATTGAGTTTTTTAATCTTGCTATGGTCATTCAACAACCTAGATTTAAAATTCGGCTAAACAAAGGAAGTCATTTTAGATGTTTAGTTTTGAATTACTTCAATTTGAACTTTAATAGTTGAATGTTATTTTTATTGTACCAAAAAAATTAATTGTACCAACAAAATTAAAAATGATATCTTTTGCTGACTTCTTTTAGATTCTAAATTTGCTAAATTTAAATATCTCACTTCCACGGTAAAATTGACCAATTATGAAAATAACTTGGACCTATTTTCGTGATCTAAATTATTCATTTCATACAATCATAAAAGAAAATTATCTATACAAAAAAATAAATTGATTTAACATCGATTTTCATACAATCAGATAATTTTTATTTATACAACATACATGTTATATTGATCATGTAATTACTTTGATTATCAAATTTTTTACATGTATATTTTTCTTAACTTATTATATGATATAAAGGATTCAGATAACTAAAAAGAGTACAAATTAATCTCACAATGTACTAATTTCACTTTGGGTTTGGCTTCTCTCAAGTTGGTCGTTTGAACTTGATATCCCCATTTTGGAATAGATTTCGGTAATTCGAATTGTTCACTTTGTAGGACTAATCGAATAGACTATTCATGCAAAAAAATAAGATAATTGGACATTGATAGTTATACGGTTGGATCAAATTTATATTACAAAAAATAAATAGTTATTTTTTAAATTATATTTGTTATTATGTAAAACAAATATGATTCAAATATATAACTATTGATATTCAATCATATTATTTTTTTTGCATGAATATGTTACTCAACAAATCTTAAAAAATAAACAATTCATATTATCAAAATCAATCTCAAAATAAACCTACAAAAAGCAAACCCTTTCACTTCGAAATTTAAAAATTTGTATTTTCTATGATAAAAGCATAAAAATCGAGAATCCAAGAATTGGGTTGGGTGGGTCCTCAAGAATTTAGTGCTGTGAAAAAGGGTGTGGAGGAGGGGGGAGAATGACGCTAGAAATGCAGGGGTTCAGCTTTGCGTGTTGGGCGCAAGTTTTTGATTAATGGATTTGTGCGTTTGAATTTTTGAGAAGCTTTCTCTAGGTGCATATCATGCCCTATTTATCTTAGGCTCCAGCTTTTCCTCCCCCAACAACATTTCTGTTGAATTTTACTCTCTTTCCATATCATTAGTTTAAAGCTCCTCTTATAACAAGATTTTAACTTTATGAATGAATATATATATATATATATAAGCCAAGTCCATTCTATATATGGCGACAACTATTATTGTTAGTGTGGTAAAAATAATATTGTAACATTTATACTTGGTAGAAATAGTATTGAATAAAAGAGACTAACTTTATCTTTTACTCGGTTGACCAAGTAGAATCAAGTTGATTTCACGCGTCTGTAACTATTATTTTTATTGATCCAAAATACTATATATTAACAAGTAAAATTAAACAACTCAATAATTTCCGTGTAAGAAAAAAGGAAGGTAATTTCAAAGGAGCACATCACATGTGCATTGAAGTGCATTTCCTACCTCTTCTAATTGGGGCAAATACAGATGACAAACCTTGACTAAAGAGTAAAGAGTTTGTCAGTGATGATGTCCATGTAAAACAGGGAAAAATTACACTTCTTGTATTCTTTAAAGCGAATGGACCTATTGTCAGTCTTGAATCACCATTTTTTGGACTTCGATTGTGACACACACGCGCACGCACACACGTAGGTGTTGGTCATTGGATCAAAAAAAAAAAAAAAAAAAAGACCAATCACACCCCACTGGAGGTCCTAGGAGTCATCCCCAGTGGGGTTTGAGGCATTAACTGTATACCTAACCCATCAACTAATTCAGTTTCTTCTTTGCCAATTTTTTGTTTCCCAAGTTCACCCGAACCAAAATCCTAGTGAAACAGTAGCCCACTAGACCAGTATTTTTTAAATAAAAATAACAATTCCAAAAAAAGAAAAAAAATGATTTTTTTTTATTTTTTTATTATTATTATTATTTTTATCATAGTACTCAATTGAGATCTATAGTTTGATATCTTTTTTTCAAGCACAACATTTTTTTCAAAACTTAAGGTTGTTCTTTTCTTTTTTTTCCAAGACCAAAATTTTGAGATATTAAGAGTGTTGGAAATTATGATTTTTATGGGCAAATTTTGGGCTAATTTTGAGCCCAAATTTAAGTAGGGCCCACACATCTTTTGAGGTGGATCCAAAGAGGTGTCGTGTTCCTTACCGCATGACAAGTCACATGGTGAAGATGGTTCATAAAACCCATTTATGAGTGAATGGGAAATTGACGTTGTTTTCAGTTTCGTAGAATGAGAAATTAAAGAGTCAAATGTGGGTTACCTTAAAATGATTATCCTACATTGAAATTTTAAAAGAGTTTATGTGGATTTATAAGCTATATGTGGACATACTTGGGTTGGGCCCTAAGGGGCACTCAAAGTTTGTAGAAGGGAGGAGTTATGGACCTTTGGCTCAAGCCACCACACATGCGACTAAGCCAGGTTGGGTCATAACATTAATTTTTTGGACAAAATTCATTTGAATTTTTTCAATTTTTTGCGAGGAAATTATTTGAATTTATGAACGGAATTAATTTCAAATTTTGCGCCAAATTTAAATTCAAAATTCCTATCCAAACAGTGCCTCTTTCGGTTCTATTTTCCAACATATCAAATTGTTTCAACAGATTTGAATTCTACATCTGTTCAGTTTGAATTCTACACTTGTTCGGTTCTATGTTAGACCTGTTCAGGTCTTCCGAATAAAAAATCTAAATAATACCAAACAAGTTGTAATTATTTTTGTTAATAAATCTCTTGCTTGATGAGCGTTCGTTTAGGATGTTGGTAAACTTTTTAACTATTTTAGTCTGAGGTTAAAAAGTCTCATTTGAGATGAATTTTTTTGATTTTTTTGACTTTTTTCAGAGAAAAAATGAAATGATTATAGTTTAAATGAGACATTTTATTTTATTGACTTTTTAGCCTATTTTATTATTTTGAGACTATTTTAGTCTAAAAAATTTATGCCAAACATACTTTGGTTGTTTGCATCTATACATACAAGACAAAAGTTTAGCTTCGTTTGGAAATGGGTTAGCTTTTTGACTATTTTTTTTATTTTAGCCTGAAGTTAAAAAGCTTGGTTTGGAAAAAGTTTTTGACTTTTTTGTGAGAGAAAGAATGTAATGATTATGTATTAGATGTGATATTTTGTCTTATTAGGTTAAAAATACTATTTTGTTTGTTGTATCTATTTTAACCCAAAAAACCTCAAAACTAACCTGCCAAACGGAGGCAAAGATGTTGAGAGTTTAATATTATGGACAACATCTCATGTGTTATGGGGATAGTGTCAGTTGCCTCACTTAACTTGAAAATAAAATTTTGATATATATAATAATGTTAATTTAAATAAATATGAACAATTGTGCATATTAACAGTTATCCTGTTATAGGTTAATTTTTGAGAGAGAGTCAATTATAGTGCAAAATACTTGGTACAAAATTGACATTGATGTGTTCAAATCTGTTTTGATCCCATTGCAAAAATAAGCAAACCAGCATGTGTTTTCTTTTTCTTTTTTTGGATCGAAACCAGCATGCGTTCAACTTGGAACATGTCTACTTCTCTTAATATACATACATACTAACCAGAATGTCTAGATATATTTCTCTTTATATACATATACTTCTCTTAAAATACATATTTGATAAAAATGTAATATAGCATGAGCTTGATTTGCTGTCTTCCAAATGGGGAATTTAGGTTGACTTCGATTGCTTCAGTTGACGTGGAGAGGCAAGCCAGAGACTATGGAGGCCGCATGGCACCTTGAATGAAGCACTGCTCCCTTATGAAGCATATATTCCCAAAAGTTCAAGTCCTACGTGAGGGTTATCATTTGGCCCAAAGACTGGTGGCTTTAACCAATGCTTGCTGGGCATTTACCCTCCCAAGCTCATACCCCATCCCGGTCTGAAGAAGGCTTGGGTTGGCACTGGGCTTGAGTGTGGAGACCAAACCCAGCCCGTTGCCCAATTAGAGGGTGCCCATCAACCCCGTCTGTGAGCCCGAAGGAAAATAAGAAAAAAACAAAAAGTTAGCCCGCAGGCTGGCCCAGCCAAATATTGACCCTTACTGCACAATGCAGCATCTCCTTTCTATACTTTCATGGAAATAGCCATGTATATAAACCACAGCAAGACGAATTCATAAGCATAGCACCAAACCAGATTGGGAACTTCATATAGACTAAGCGCCTCCAAAGCATCTGAGTCAAGCTCATCGAAGTTCAAGAAAATATATGCTAATCAAAGAAAACATACACAGCAAAACAAAGTTATAAGATCAATAATACATATACTAAAGGCCCAAGGCCGACAGGCACATATGGTATCTTTCCAGATTCCAGTTGCGAATTCTAAATAACTACATCCTTTTTACCGGTAAAAATGGCAGAACCAAAAAGCTCATCTTTCTATTTCTTTGCATAGGTAATCAACATTGGGTTTTCGGGAGAGATCTTGAATCCTTGGAGTCCCTGCATTGCAACTGTGGATTGCATCTCATTCTCGTATTCTATGAAGGCTATTCCTGGCTTTGCCTCCACCATCCTAACTTCCTTGAAGCCCTGGTATTGGCAGAACAACATTTGCAGCATCATTTGAGTGGTCTGATGAGGAAGATTCTGAACAAACAATATGTTATTTGGTGGAGCTGGAGCTTCTGGAACGACAGATTTTGCACCGCCCATATATGGTATTTGTGATAACTGCACCATTTAGTGGAAGAAGATAGAAACGGTAAGGCCTTTTTTTTGGAACGATAAGGCCTTTCCAAAAAATATATAACCAAGACCATAAAAATAAACACAAAGAAAGCACTTTAGCCCCCACATAAATTTATTAGGGAAAAAAAAACTCATCACAGAACAGCTGTTAGTATGACTACTACATTTTAGTGAAGACCTATAGAAGATGGAGTCTAAGATCAAGCAATGATTTCAACATCCCATATTGGGGGTAGTAGAAAATATTAAGCGGAATTACTGAACCAGCAGCCATATCATTCTTTGACCAGTCATGAAAGTTAAGTTTATTACTGAAAGAAAAATAGATATATAACTCTAATCATTTTCAAAATTTAATCACTGGCATCAATCATGCAAAACTGTTGCATGGATAGAATATATCATATAATATATTATGCCTACATCTGTTTTCCATCTTAAGAGTAATCTCCATAGGCTAAAAAAATAAAATATCCAAGGCTAATAACATAATTGACTCAGTAAGATAATCCATTGATGTGTTGTTGGTGTCATTTTCCCTTTTTCTATATTCCAATTTCATCTTTACTCATTATATGCTTCCCATCCTTCCTGCATCTCTAGATTATTGATACACCCTGTAACCACATAGAAGTCAAGCATCCAAGTCCTAAAACTTGCATAACTTCTCTAACAACATGGATCTCAGGTGTTGGATGTTCAAAGACGTACAACAGCTCATAAAACAAATAAATTTCAAAATAATAATAATAGTAACCAGAATTGACCTCAGAATTATCCTCGCAAAACATATTGATGCAAATTTAACTAAGTTATAATTCCACAAATCAATCCTCAGAAAATAGGAAACATGCTTACAGGAGGAGTTGCACCATAGGCACCAGCATAAGCAGGATTCAGACTCATTCCAGCTTGACTAGCATCGTGTTGCTCTTTTCGCTTCCTCCCTATTAAGAGAGGAAAAACCCATAAAGAAGAAGTAAACCCGTAAATAAGAAACCAAATCTACACTATACTCTATTCCATCCAGGTAGTAATATCGCATCATAAAATTTATCCTAAACACTGCTCCTTTTTATTAAGAAGGAAACAAATTGGTGACTTCTGCTTTTAATATTTCACTTTTACTTCCAACATTTTTCAGCAATCTTTTACATATTTTTTTCTTGCAATATACTAAACTACAGAAGAAAAAAAAGTTGCCTGCACTTATCTCATTTAGATTGAAAGAACTTTCATCCTTTTACTTTCCACTTTCATCAGAAAAAATTAAAGGGCAGGTTTTAAGAGTACATTCAATAGATGTGGTGAATCAGAATTAAAACAAGAATCGGAGAATAAGCAAGCCATCTACTGTGGATTGTTCATCTAGCTATAAGGTTGCAATAATAGTCATTAGCTCATACAATATCCCTCTTTCCTACATAGGCCATCGTAAATAAAAATTCATTTACACATGTAATCTTTGGTGAAATGATCCTATGAATAATAGAAGACAGGCTTCAACCACAAAAAGAAGTGGCTGTCCCAGTGGACCTACTACTATGGTGGGGGTAAATGGGAAGTAATAATGCACTACAGCATGCTTGCTGGTGAGATGACTATTACTATTACTCTTAAAGCCAATTAATTTTTAGCCCATGCCGCCATGTGTCTTATTTGCCAAAATGATATGGAAGAAGAGTGACCGCAAACTCGAATGTGTTATCTTTTCACAACAGAACACTCTGACCATGCTTCAGCAATCAGCATTAGTATACTATCTTAAAATTGCCAACACAAAAAGATTGATTCCATCATCGAAACAGTTTATGTCGAGCACCACAATAAACAAGGCCATGCAGTCAATTCCATCTAAAAAAAATCACAAATTCTTATCTGATATTTATGTCAGGTTCAGCTAGATTTCAATACTCCTTCAGTTTGTTTGTTAACACTTACACGTTAGCATTTTATTACTTATACATAAAAAATAAAAAATAAAATAAAATAAAATAAATAAATAACTAAAAATAAAATTAGTAGATTACCATTTTCTTTTTACACAAGTCTTAACTTGAACAACATAAAGTGGCATCGACATTTTTCTTGCCAAAATACTTTTGGTAGCAAATGTTGCATGGCAAACATCTTTTCATGCTACTGCCAGGTAAGTACAAGATACAATACTATAATCAATGTTATTACTCCATGAACTATGAGCAGTTCACAAATAGCAAGCACCCTAATACAAGTTTAGGAACTTCCAATATCTAATGTGATTGGCACAGTTTATTGATTCATTTAAGATTTCAGATCATTACTGCAAAAAAAAGGGACAACAAAGTGTAATTCCAGGCAGGCGTGCCAGAGGGACTAACCTTTTTCCTCGTGTCTCTTTCTTCTTTCTCTTGGAACAAAAGTACCATCAGCCTTTGCAATTATATCTGACTTTGTCTTCGCAAATTGTATCCTCTGAGATAATAACTTACTATAATTACATGTCTATATCATAATAAACCATAAGAAGCAAACAGGAGGGAATTGTAGAATTAAAATCTATACCAAGGCTTAGAATTCTTGAAACATAATGACAGAAGTTGTCTTAACTCAGAGTTGCAACTATTCAATTCATTGTACTTGCTTGAACAATAAACATATATACATACATTGCATAAAACTGCATAATAAGCCCACTAGCATACAGAATTGTCCAAAGACACAGACATTTAAAATCAACATCTACTGCAGGAATATGCATGTAAAGCATATTTGTAGCTTACTAAGAGCCAACATCTGGAATTAATTAAGCTTGACACAAATGCAATATACTTTTCCTTTAGAATTCACAATTTGAATTCTTACACTGAAATGAATAATTGCTAAATACTTAGGTAGTGTTTGGTTCATTGGAATGTAATGATTATTCCATCAAAATATCCATTCCCATATTTGGTTGACTAAAAATATAACAAAAAACACATTAAAAGTAGAATCATCATTCACTATCATAAGGAAATAATCATTCTGAAGTGGAGTCTAAGAATGACCATTTCATTCCATTTCATCTCATTCTAATCAACCAAATAGAGCAATATTAGTAGAAAAGAAAAACAAAGATCTTCAAAGCTCACACCCTAACCTGAAATGTGTCACCTTATACTTCATTCTTTTATAGAAGATCATGTCCAACCACAGACTTCGTGCATCAGTTAGTTAATTCACTAAAACAGTTCATTTTGGGATTCTTTATTGGAGTAGATGAACTTATGGAAGCAATAGCAGACGTGCAAAGCAAGTTAAATTCTTCTCTTAGACTGAAAATGAGGAAATGACAGAGCATAGCAGTTTAATGCAGCCATGTGACACTTGCAAAAGCACGCAATTAGCAGGTTTAGCTCTAATGCAAAAAGGATAATAACCCTGACATAAAGTCAACAAAGTGAACTACACCATAGGTTAAAACTTGAATCATGCAGTAACAGTAGCACTTGAGAGACAGAATTCTCTGCTTCCTTTGAGGCAAGTTGAGTGTACAATTCTCTCAAATGGAGCAGACAACAAAAAGTTCCTTAATGAGCTTCAACTCCAATAGTCCAGTAACATAACCAACACCCTTAAATCACTCCATGAACCATTAGCAGGTCCAATATCAATCCTTAACAAACACAAAGCTTATAATGAGCCTTTTGAAACTCGTCAAAGCACCTGTTATATGACATTGAAAAGCAAGTTGTACAACTTCTTGCAGACCGCTCCAAGGTCAACGATCTTAAAGAGACATACCTAAATCCTACACCTTCAGTGGTCCATTTCCTACACTGAAACATACAACAAAGTACAGCCGGTCGGCTCAAAGCTTAGATACAATACAAGATGTGCAAAACAATCAAAAGGCCAGATGACCCTTATAAGGTTAAACACAATTTATACGACGACAATGAAATTTGGTTTGTATCATTACATTTGTTACTGTGTTAGTATTGTCATGATCAAGTGGAGTTATTTCAACTACTAAGAATCACTTATCACCGTAGTTGTTAATAGTGAAATATCTTCTTGTTAATAACATGAAAAAATACTTATCTAACTTGAACAGTCTGCATAACTTGCTCTCTTCTATCCGCATATGTACACAAATAACCTCAATACAATATCAATTACCACATGATAGTGAAATTTTACTAACAAACCATGAAGAAAATTGGAATTTCCACAGCAGTCACCTCGCTTCCCTTTAACAATCATAAATCAGCCACTCCAGTTACAACAATATAACAACAAGAGTCATTAACTTGTTATTAGACTAAACTAAACCTTGTGTCCCAATCAAGTGAGTCTTTTTTGCCATTCTACTCAATCAAGTATTATACATGCTCAGTCAAATTAACTCATCATACATTTTTCCCCCCTATAATCATAAGGGTGTTCACAATACTCAAATTGCACTAATAATAAAAAATTCAACCGACCATCACAATGTAGGAAAGGTTGGGGACATACCATAGGCTTGTCATAGAAAGGGAAGCCCTGCATTTTGCGAAACGCATTGGTCGCGGAAGCGACGTCCTCGAACACAACCCAGGCTTGACCTTTGTGTTTCAGTGTCTTGAATGCCAAAACCTCCAATATCTTCCCGAATTGAGAGAACACCGCCAACAGAGATTTCTTCAACTCTGAAAAAATAATTAAACTCAGATTTCAAAAACCTAATTGAAATAGAAATCTACAAAGACAAAAGATATACAGAGAGAGAGAGAGAGAGAGAGAGAATAGGGAGTACCTTCAAGCTTGATCTTCTCGTTGAGGTTGTTGATGTATATAGTCATGTTCGGAGGAACGTCTCCGCCAGTAGTCATCTCAGCCATGGGTCGAAGCTAACCTACTTTCCGACTCCGATTAAAAGTAGCAACAGTTTTCTCAGTGAAATTCCAATCGGCCAACACTCGGGAGAGAGAATCGTTCTTTCCGTTCTTTCCCTCGTCGGCAATTTTGGGATAAATGGGAATGCGAATTGGGTGGGCTAGATGGGCCTACTCTGTTGGTTTGGGCTACCAAGTTGGGCTATTAAATTAAATTGGGCAGTTATTTCTATTGTCCAATATTTGACTTTGCTCGTCAACGTAGTGAGTTAGTTTTTGGAAGACTTAGGTCAGTGTCATGAGTGTACTTAGTTCTCGTTTGAGGATAGATTATTTTAATAATTTTTAATTAAAATTTGAGATAAAAAAAATTAATATATTTGAAATGATTTTTTTATTTTTTACAAAAACATGTGTAAAAAATAAAGAAAAAAAATAATCTTTGACTTGCATTTTGGTTTTTTTAATAATTTTCGATTTTTAAATTAAAAATGTTGCATTCCAGACGGGGCCTTAATATCCAACTAAGTCCTGTTCCAAAGTAATGACCATGTATTTCATTTCATCCTGATACCCTGATTTTCAAAACAATCAATGATTCTCAGCAGTAAAAATATATATATATATATATATATAATTTTTTAAAATTAATATGTTCATAAAATTTTCACTCAAAGTTTGTTGGGTAATAATTTCAACCAGTAACACATGCTTCTTTTTCTTTTCTTTTTTTCGTCGGTGCTTTTGACAATTTGGTACGTTCATTTCTTGAGCAATCTAGGGAGAAAATAAAAAAGTAAATGAAGTATTAAAAAAAGGCTTTTACCTTCCGGTTAATATTTTTTTCCACAAATTCAAAATCCAATCAAAATATTAGAGATCAATTAGAGTTAATTGTCCCATAAATTTAATTCAATTGTAGCAATGCCCTCCGAAACCATTTGTGTTTTTTAACATTTTTCATCGGTCAATTGTAGTTTTTAAACATCTTCCAGGCAATGGTTTTATCAAGGATCAATTTCATTTTTTATATTTTTAAGTGAGCAAATTGTCTTTTATTTTTGTCCTATGGAAGGGCCTTTTTTTTACCACTGCGCCACAGTGTTCTGTTTTTATTAATATAATTAACGAATTGTTAATAAAAATATATTTAAAGTATTATATGAATTAAATTTTAAGAGCTTGATTGAGTCAATTATAGAATAGGATTGATATCATTAATCTATGAGACTTACCTTCTATTACTTGATTATAATTTTTGTTATTCAAACTAAATTCCGATAGACATTCTATATAATAAAGTTAGCAAATTTTTTAATCTTACAACTAATTAGGATTAGATATTTTCATATTCATTGCAAGATAAATGCAGATAAAAAAATAATTTTTCTTGCTAATTTAACTGAATAACTAATTTTACATTAATTACTTAAACTATTAATCACATCACTATTTATTTTATTAATCAAATAATATAATTATATTATAGTTATGAAATTTATTATATTTTATTTAAATAATTAAAAAGCAAGAAGTTTGGCAAGCAAACAAAGCTCTGGTTTGACCTTTGACTGAAAGCTGGACCTCACGAGTACGCTTCTTTCGCGCACGACGAAATTCAAGTATCTAGATAGCAATCAGGATTTTCTTCTTGATCTATCTCATTGACTCCTTATTTATTAGGTTATTGGATTCAATTTTTGGCTTAATTTTGACAATTTAAATTATTCATATTTTAAGATTTGTTAAGTATATCATATTTGTAAAAAATTAAATTGATCAAATATCAGAAAATATGTGTTCGAAACACTGTTTATTAATTTTTTTTTAAAATAATTTTTAATTTGATGATCCGAACGCGTAGTTTCTAATATCCAACCAACTTAATTTTTTATAAGTATAATATACTCAACAAATCTGAAATGTGGACAGCTCAAATTATCGAAATTGGGCCCAAAAGTGAATCCAATAGCCTAGCAAGTAGGGAGTCAAAGAGAGATAGTAACGAGAGGATCTTGATTCGATAGATAGCGCCCGTTTGGTTAGGATAAAAAAAAATAAATAAATAAAATAAAAAAAATTAGTGCCCATTTGGTAACTTTTTTCCCAATTAAAATAGTTAAAAATTCAAATATATTTGATATATATAAAAAAAATTATTCTTTAACCCTTGGTTGGGCATGGGGCTAAAATGAGGTTGGAGGTTAAAATAGTTACAAAAAAATAAAATAAATCAAAAAGTTAATAAGGTAAAATGACATGTTCAAATTACATTTATTTTATTTTTTTCATAAAAATCAAAAAAATTAAAAAAATCTAACCCAAACGAGATTCTAGTATCAACCAAAAAATCAACTCATTTTTCCAATGAAAGTTTAGACTATTGAAACATTTCATTTTGTTACAAATTGATTTTGACCATTTGATTCTTAATTTTAGAAAATAATAAAATGAGCGCATTACTTCAACAGTACTGCATAATTTCTCCTGCTATTTGGTCCCAACACGTGGACCGTGACAATGTCATCTAGCCGCACACAGTCCAACATCCGAGAACTCTCACGTCATTTGAAAGATTCGTCAACTCTCAGGCCGGCCTTTCCTCCTCGTCCAAACTTGTCTTTCCCAATATCCAGAGTAAACAATAATTGTTCACTACTCCCCAAATACTATGTACCTTATTTATCAAATCATCTTAATAAATTATGTAATTAATTTTTTTTACCAGTAAGCTACTAAGCCTTCGTTTGGGAAGTGGGTAAGTTTTTTGGCTTTTTGATTTTTTTGGCTATTTTAGCCTGGGCTAAAAAGCTTAGTTTGGGAAGGAATTTTTGGCTTTTTGGCTTTTTTGACTTTTTTTGTGAGAGAAGAGTGTAATGATTATGGGTTGGATGTGATGTTTTGTTTGTTGTGGCTAAAATAGCCTATTTTGTCTTTTGTGGCTATTTTAGCCCCAACCCAACTTGCCAAACACCACCTAATTAATTTTTGTTAGGCAATAATAAATGACAAGTGTTAAACGGTAATATCAATGACTATTGAAAAAAAAGTAAAAGATTGTTTGGAGTATCTTAAATAAGTGTAATTTTTATTTTTTTAGACTAAAAAATTGAGAAAAAAATATGAATATTTGGGTTAATTTTTTATCTTTTTACGAAAAAATGTATAATAAAAAATTGTATAAATAAAGTGTATAGAGAAAGAAAGTTGAGTAGGTTGTACGACTCCTCTGCTGGGCAGTGTGTCTTAGACAGCAAAATATTACCTCATTCGGGGCAAAGTATTTGGACAATGATGGTCGGTTCGTGGGGCCACCACGGGTCTCATTTTAATAATTTGAACCGTTTAATATGTACAACTCATCGAGTATTATATGCATGTAAAAAATCACGTTGATCGGATATGGATAGCTATATGATCGGATTAATTTTTTTTCAACAGTTAACTATCACACCATCCGTTTTGTTTATACAAAACTGATTTGATCATATAATTAACGATATCCAATCAGTGTGATTTTTTAAAGGCATATAGTACTCAACGAATTATACATATTGAACAGTTCGGATTATCAAAACGAAACCCTTAGTGGGCCCCCAAAGGCCCAACATTACCATCAAATTTTGTGGCTTCACATATGTAATTTTTTTTTTTACCCAAAAAGTGTATGACCTGCCTTCCTGCTGGGGCAATACGGCTGACAGTGTAATTCAAAATTTTGTATTAGAAAAATGTATAAAATATTTTTAAATATTTTTTATTTGTGAATAGTAATAACTTTTTTACTTTTTGTGTAACTTTTTGGCTTTTTGAATTTTTTGGGACTTGCCAAACCTGGCCTAACAGAGTTAAAAACTTCAACATTTGTCATAATTTATGAATAATTTATCTATTGTGTTTTACAAATTTTCATTTGTTGAAGCTCAGTTAAGCAATGTCAAGATTAAATAAGTGTATTTTTTAACTTTTTACTAAAAAAAGTACAGAAAAATAAAGAGGTGATGCGACTCAAAATGACAAAAAGATAAAAAGTTAAAAAATTCACTTTTATAGTTTACCCCAAACAACACCTAATAATTTTTTGAAAAATAACAATACATGGTAGGGGACTAAAAAAAAAATTATAAAACATTGGGGGTGCAACTCAATGTGCGCGTAAATTTTTTTTCTCTGTTTTCACTGAGATGTAATTCTTGCATATTTTTTTATATATTAATATAGTTATATTTACTATTTTTAAATAAACAATCAACCTAATGTGTATATCAGAGCATCTCCAATGGTGTGCCATTGGAGCTGCCATTGCTATAATATAACAGTTGTATTGAATTTTGATGCTCCAATGGCAAAACATAGTAGCTGCCAAATTTGAGAAATGCCAAAGCTTGTGTCAAATTTGACATAAGCTTTGGCAGCTGCCATTTATGTCAACTCAGCCAAAACCAACTGTTTCCCTTCCTCCTTCCTTCATTTCCTCCCTCCTCCTCCCCCCAACAACTTTTTCATCATTTTTATGTTTCAGAATTCACCAAAAAATTTCATGAATAATGCAACATTTTATCATTTTACCCGAAATCAAATGGTAAAAAAACAGAGTCACGAAAAAATTATAGATTCATCAAATGATTCATCAAATTCAAACAGATTCACAGGAAAAAAAATAAAAAAATTCAGAATTCAGATTCAAACAAATTCACAAGGAAAAAAAAAACAAATTCAAACAGATTCGGAATTCACCATTTTACCCAAAATCAGCACATTCAGATTCACAAAACATATTCACAGAAAAATTTAAATAGATTCATTGAAAATGAGAAATACCTGGTTTTTGAGCATATACCGTCGCCGGTGGCCGATCGTCTTTTTAAGCATATACCGTTGCCGATCGAAGACAGAGAGATGAGAGATAGAGTGACAATGAGAGAGAGGTAGATCTGGATAGTCGATCAAAGAGAGAGAAGACATATGGAGACAGAGTGAGAATGAGAGAGAGAGGGAGACAAAGTGAGAGAGAAGAGAATGAGAGTGAGAGTGAGAGTGAAAGACGAATCTAAGAGTGAGAGACAGAGTGAGAGAAGATTCAATGTTCTTCATCACCGATCGAAAAGAGAAAGAAGAG